CTTCTACCTATACTTTTCAATGTTATAAAAGAAAATTATATAAAATAAAAATTTATGCATGTTATTAAATAATTATAATTTATTTACTGTTTATATCCAAAAGTGTAAGATTTGACGAGTATAAATCTCTATGAAAAATAAACCGATGACATCAATACCATTTATCAATCATAGTTTTATATATAACGTTTGATAAAAATATAATAAAATATTTTAATATGTTTTTAACATTTTATGAAATTATTCACATAAATTTATTGTTTTATAATTTAGCTTTATAGTATTTTAATTGTTAAAATTTTTTATCATATAGTTAATATAAATTCATAATGTGTAAGAATATTTGTTTTTGTTATTAAGAATATGATTTGAATTCCATTTATATAAATATTTTTCGGTGTGCATAATATGAATTAAGACATGAGAATTAAAATATAAATTAAAATTTAATAGTTTGAGATCTATATTTAAATATTTTAAAATATTTTGTAATGAAACGGGTTACTAATTAAAACTTAAATTTTTATATTAATATTTTTTATATGTTTATCCGCGTATTAACGCGGATCCTAGTATATATATAATATCTTTCATAGAATTGAATTGTAATAATGAATAGTTTGGAGAATAAAAATAAATCATATAGATATTAATTTTTATTAGACTATCACTACTAAGATAAAAGCAAAATACATTAAAAAAACACCACTAAAATCTATTCAAATACCAAAACAAAATTTCTTCGATCAAATTTCGTTTTACCATAAATGCATTGAGGATTTTGGTGCAAACTTGAAAGTTTCTGCGATTTGACTATTAAAAGCATGATTTGAATTGAAAATAATTATACGTTTAAAGATATATATACACTTCTTCATTGTATAGGATGGTTAACACAGTCAGTTTGCTCACCAAACAGCATATTTGGATTCCTTAAAGCTTGATTTAGACCTAAATGTTTTTTTCCCCACCGTTAAACTTGCCAAACGTTGTTCCAAACATGTTGAATGTTTGTGGAATGCTAAATAAACTAAAAAAAAAGTAAAACTTCAGTGCGGAATGTTACTCAATGTTCTAAGACATCAACACATATATAGAAAGCCAAGAAAACATAGAGCATTAATATAACTAAAACATAGAAAGATTATAACATCAACAATAATGATTTATGATAACGGCTATGGCTATGGTGGTGGTGAAGCAAAGTCAAAAGTATAAACAACAATGGGGCTTCTCACATTATGAGTCCCATCAGACCAGATTAGACTTGCAGACGAAGGCAGCTTTGGGTCGAGACCGCTGCCTGTAACAGTCACAGTGAAAGACTGCTTCTCGTTCAACAACTTCATAGTTAGAACATTCGGCGAGACCTTGACGTTGAGCTTAGATCCGTGATTTAAGACAACTTTTGCTTTGTATGTAGAGTTTGGTGTACCAACGTTGGTGACGGTCCTGTTGAAAGTGACGGTGAAAGAGCTATTAGGTCTCGACAATTTAGCCGACATTGATGGATAGTTGAGGTTTCTCGGTAAGAATTTTTCAGTGCAAGTGACAGCTTCACCGGAGATGAGTTTCACCGTAGTCACATTGTAGTTCATGCCACAGAGAAAGGCAATGTAGTCTGCTTTGGTTATATCATAGACTAGTCCAGGATTAGTAGCAGCTATTGGGTCTACATGACCAGCTCCATAAGCAAACTCTGTTGATGCATAGCCAGTTTCAGAAGCATTCGTCGACCAAGCTGCGAGATTGATTAAAAACCAGAGCATGAACAAAAGTCGACGGTTTTCTTGCGAGACAAGAAAGTATGTTTTGTTACTTAAGATCAAAATTTTCTTACCTGTAGTCATAATCGCAGATTTTATCATCGAAGGCGACCATTTAGGATGAAACGTCTTCACATAGGCGGCTACGCCTGCAACGTGTGGACAAGACATTGAAGTTCCGGATTCAACAGAGTATTTCACATATGTGTTGTCATAAAACGGCGATGCCTTAAGTGAATTTGCAGCCAAAATCTCCAGTCCTGGTGCTGTTATATCCGGCTGCATTTTCATTCACCACTTTCTCAGATCATAAAAAAAAAAAAATTAAAAGATAAATCTAAGCATAACGAATATCTATGTACCTTGAGAATATCAGCAACGATGATGTTTGGTCCGCGAGAAGAGAAGGAAAGAACATTAGGAGCGATCTGATTAAAGATTGCCTCAGATTTTAGAACAGCCGCTTTAGGGGAACTAAAGAATCAAAGCCAAGAAAATGAGAATCAAGAGAAGCATATAACACAACAAAAGCGAGTGATTCAACGGAGAGAATGAAGATGACTGTTTACTTTGCGGACTTAGTGTAAGAGACGAGAGATTCAAAGTCATCTTCTTGTAAGCCAGATACAGGTAAACCCTCGTTTTGGGACCAGTCTGAACCATCTTCAAAAATAGCTGCAACAGCTCCCTTAGTATAGGCTACATATGGAAAAGATGTATTGCACACCAAGATCTTTCCCTTCACCAGAGATGCGTTGAGACAATCTGGATTGCAATCCCTAAAAATAAATTAAAAGAAACAAATCTCATTATCACCAATCAGAAATTTGATAGTATTTCTAGGTCATACGCTTTACGCATGGTATTGCTTGTGGAGGAAGTTACTCTGCGCATTTCGCTTGGGAGGCCGACAAAGCAGCAGACTTTCCATACACCAGTGGGAATTTTTTTCCTTGCATATCGAAACCATTCACTGATCTTCCCTATTAAGAC